ACTTTCAAGCGCCGCGATACATTTTTCATCACTATAACCTTGTTTTTACGATACTTAGCTTTAAAGTTGTAAACATTTTTCCTATATTACAATAAAAAAAAACCACATTCGCTATTCAACGTTAACTAGTATGTGAAAGGTTTAAACTAAAACTTATATCAACAAAATATTGTCGCAAATTGTTCCATTTTTACATCTTCCGTTGACTTTTTGGTTGAAATTTTCTTTGGTTTCATTTAAGACATACTCACCTTTGACCTTCAGAATATCTATACCTATTTTCTGCTGTATATCAACAATGTTGTTCATAAAATGTTAATAAAAACTTCCACTTAGATGATATGTATGCAATACCATTAGACTATCTCAAAAAAATCGTTGGTAGTTGGGAGTGCACTGTAATTAGTTTCCTTGACTTGTGGGATTTTGAATGCCGCCCTAAGCTCCACAGCTTTACTTATGTTTTTCTTTATACTGAAACTATTCGATATCCACTTGAGTGCTTCATCTATTCCAAGAATTTAACTTTATTAGATACTACAACAGTCAGACATTCTGCCATGCATTTTTAATGTGAAGTCTTTAGAAAAGATTTCATAACTTAAAAGCTACAACTTAAGTACTTCAACTCTTTTTATATACTCTGATAGATACTCATACATTCTGAAATGTACGTTTAATATCGAATCTTTAGAGAAAATTTCATAACTTACTTTACCATCAAGCTATGATCAACGTGTGATTCTTATCCATTTATTTGATAATTCCTGTTATATCCTCATCAAAATATGCTAAATGTAGTACAAGATTATTGAAAGTACTGATAATAATAAAAAAAAAATAAAATTAATACTAAAATGTTTACTATAATCAACACTGAAATCGATATCGATACTAAAATTGTATATATACTAAATTCAATATCTATACCGTAACGATACTGCGTTATCATATTAAAAATACTCACATATAATATTTAAATAGAATATAATAACATCACAAGCAAGCAATCATTGATTTTAATACAATATCGATACTAAAATCGATATACACTTATATTGCAATCGATATTATTATTAGAAATTGATAATAAAATTTTAAAAGATTAAAGTAACTTTGGAATCAATTTAGTGCCAATCTTTGATTTTACTACAACATTAAGAAATGTTTGACTGAAATTTAAATATATGCCAATATATCCAAAAAAATAAAAATTTTAAATAATTTTTGATCTTCATTTATAATACTGCCGTAGAGTTCAGTGATTAACAAACTGTATTTTATCGAACCAATTTTAATACCCAAACGATTTCTACCTTTCTGCCGGTAAATGCCACAATAACCCATTTTTTTCTTTAATATCAAACATTTTTTAATACTTTTTCCATAATTTTTTTATTATTATTAAAAATTTTATTGACTTTCATGGATTTAATGAGTCCAAAAGCTTTTGTCTTAATCGAGACTAAAATTCATTTTAGTTAACGATTCAATTTTAATGATCACTTATTAATAATCTTGGATTGTTTTCTTCTTTTTTAATTAACATAACAAGAAAAAGAAAATATGCAAATGCATTGTTTGTTGTTGTTTGTTTCAGTTGTTGCATTTGTTAAAGCCAAGAATGCAACGCAACGCTCCTAAATTGACCCAAAAAGATAAACTGCTTAACCAAATTAGTCGCTCTTGAATAAAAGATGATTTCGTAGCCACTAAAAATAGACCTCAAGTGACAGTTTCTCTTTCTACGGGCGCTGTTAAGGCGGCAAATAAATCAATGACTTACTTGCCTTTTAAGAATTATTTCAACTTGTTTGTTTGGCTCTTCAGCTGGTTTTTACTTGAGCAAACAAATTATTATAATATGAAAAAATAAATCGCACTACTCTGCTTTCAGTTCTGAGCTAAGCAGACTTCTAACGACTACATGTTTGCCGAGAGACAAGTTTTGGGTTATGGAAAGAATACTTTCTTGTTTGCGAAATCAATGCCTCTATTCGGCTCTAAAATTGCAATAACTGCAGCGAATCTTAAAATAAGTTCAATGACTTTATTACACTGCAAAATATTTTTGCAGATTCTTCTGCAAAAAAAGATTTTATAGATATCTTTTTATTAAATTAACATTTTTATCGTTTTTATTTGTCATATAACCTAATAGTATGTTTCCACCGCTTATTTAGCAGGCGTAACTTGCTAAGTAAGTTTTGATAAGCATACAAAGAGCTTCCATGCTTTTTAACTTACTTAAAAATAAAGTAGTTGCACATTCACACTGTCTCATTTAAGGGATTTTGCTCATTATAGACACTAATGAGGATGATTTACCACACAAAAAATCTTTTATATAAATGAACTCATTATCAATAAATCAGCTCATTTAAAGCGAAAAATGTTGAAAGCAACCCTTAAAAATAAATTTCCCACTAGGCAATTTACCATAATTTGAAATATGTGTCATATGTTTTATATCTAAAATGTAAGCAAACAACAGCTGAGCTTTAAACGAAGGCATTATAGAAGTAAGTATTTAATAAAATCTTTCTTTTTATAATTAAATATATGATTGGTAAATAAAATGTAAATAAATGATTTTATATATCAATTATATATTTTGTTTTTTTTGTGATATATTATTAAATGAAGTTTATAAGAGTTAATATTCTATCAGCTGCATAAATTAGCTCCTTATAATTTAAACGTTCACTCATTTATACAAGTGAGCAAGTGCCTAAATGAGATAGTGTGAATGTACTTAATATATTTAATTTTTTGTGTGATATTATCTATCTATTGTGTGAAAGTTATCTAATTACCTACACTTAGAATAATAATTTAGTTGATTTAACCAGATTTTAACTAAATCTCAGGTTAAAAGATTCTTACTCGACGCATCATGTTTGTTCATGTTGGTTTTCATATCCTTTACCAATGAGATAAAGAAGTTCTAACAAAATTATCAGGTCAATTTAACCAGTGTGTGGTTAGCGCATATTTTTCTGAGTGTACTATTTTAAATTGATTTTTAACGTCCTTTTTTAACGAAAGAAACTAGATTCTTGATAGAAACTATTATGTTCAATAGAGAGGTTTTTATCGAACAGTAGTAAATTACAACAAAATAGAATTTTATTATTATTTTTAATTGCATTTTTGGTAGACCAAACAGCTGTTTTGACCTACTATTTGTGCTTTTCTTCTGTATTGAGCGAGAAATATTTCTCTATCTAATATGTCGATCTTAATATTACTTCTTCAAAGTCGTTTTGATCTTACACTACGAAAGTACACTGAAAAGTAGTTTTATTATTTACTTCATTACAAAGATTATGAAAATATGTACTTAGCAATATTTGTTAACTCTATATCTAGTCACAAGAACACTAACATTTAGTTTGCCCTTCACGCCTTCACACGTTTCTACTTTACTATTTTTTTCTTTATGAAAAATCGCTGAGAAACGGATCTAAAACCTTCTTATTAGTATATCAAATGAGGACTGACCTATCCAATCAGAAAATATTATAAAATTTGATTAACCTTATTTATTTACTTTAGCTTAGTGGGTTAACATATTTGTACAGTTAAGACTCGCAGAACGTACTATCAAATGAAGACTGATACATTAAATCAGCAAATATTATTAAATTTGATTAGCTATTGATAATTTAGATTAGTTGCACTATTCCCTGACATATCTGACAGGCCTACTTGCTGTTTGCGTATGCCGACGATATTGAGGCATTTTTCAACTTAAGAAAAAAAGCGAAACAAATGGGTGTTATGGTAAATGGTACTTTCTGTCAACAATTAAATTTCCTGGGCGTCTTGAAACCCACGGCACTGTTGACAATTATAAGTTCTAGGTTGTGAACGTAGATGTTCAACAAAGAATCACTCTTGCCAGCATGGTAGAGATGAAAGGCATGTTTGCATTTTCGGTGAAAGGACTAGGTGACCATCGATTTGTGCGTGCACGCTACTTCCAGTTGGCGACAGTAAGCACCAGATCGGACCGGCTGCCGGAAGCTACTGGAAGCGGCCAAGGTCGATCTATGATTGTAATAGCGAACTGTGTAAGAAAGTAAGTATAATTTACGGACCACTGTGAGACATTGTTCTTTTTTATTAAAAGAACAGTAATAATATTTCTCTCCACGCATTATTTAGATCTCTGTACAGGTGCTTAGATTTTGAATTTAAAATTAAAACTTTTTATTTAGTAATAACCTTAAAGTTACAAAAAATATGCTTTGTTAAAATAATCAAACAAATTTATCTCAATTATCTTTCGGAGAGTCGGTAGAGTACACATCCTTATAAATGTAAAATATAAAAAGTATATTCAGTTCTCTATGAATTCTATAAAAAGCAAAAAGACTGCATTAAATCTTAAAAATTATAAAAATAATAATTAAATTCATTATTTCATAATCAAATAATGGATTCATAATTAAAAAAATAATCAGCACAACTTTTTATGGAGTAAATAAGTATAATTTTTAATTTATTTATGTTTGCATTACCATTAGTTTTATATTTTATTACGGTACTTTTCAAAAAATTTTGACTTTAACTATATTTTTTATAAACTAATAAAACTTTTATTATAGCAACAATCGTAAACTCTAATCCCACCAACTATAAATATTAAATACAACTAATAATCCAGCAAATTTCTCCATGTGTTCATTTGTATATGAAGAAGTTTGAATAAATCTAAAATGTATTAGTTTGGCTCTCTGAAAAGTCTTGGTAGAAATTCTTGATAACTCAACTGACCACGAATCTGAGTTTTTGTTACATTTCCTCGATAAACAGCAACTGCACCCATACCACACCAACCCGGCACTTAATTCTATGCAGATTTGTAATGCAGCAAAGCAATCCATATTGAATTGAGTTTGCTCTTGTAATCGGCACTGTGGCTTAAGCTATAAGCCCAGCGAATCAATGCTCTCTCATAAGCCAAGCTTCGAGTATAAATGCGCTTCTACGACAGAAATTGAAACAGTTTCGGCCGTGAGCTGCAAGTGAATCAACGTCTAAATCGTGACAAGTGAAGCACGCGAAGTGCGGTGTTAACAGCAATTGTGTACCAACTTTTATTTGTTGTTCAATATTTATTTGAGATTTACTCAACACTTTTATTTACTTTAAAATTTAACAACTTTAACGAAAAATAATTGAATCCACAAAGTGAAAATGCGTGCCATTTTTGTGTTAACATTATCGCTTTTACTGTTGATCAACAACAGTCAAGCTGGCTTGGTACATCGACGATTTCGCGATCTCAACGAAACACCCGCCATTGCAGTGCTAACAAGTGAACCTGTCGCAGCAGAGTTGCGTAAGGATCAAATACCAGTGACTATCCTCGAATTGGAAGAACCACAAACTGTCGTGCAACCATTGGACAGCGAGCGTCGGGTTGAACCAGCTTTAACTGTTTCGGAACCACAAGCAATTGCGACTGATAACAAAGCACCACAAAAAGAAGGACTAAAAGCTGCTGCAGAAACTGCTGAAATCGCTGAGGAGATTGCAAGTGCCGTAGAACAGGATCAAAAATTAAGAGCAGCAAGTGCTATTACTGAAGCACAAGCTAACATTGAACAACCAACTGAACAGCAATTAGCAGAAGCTCCTTTAACAAAAAATACTGCTCCACAATTAACAACTGAACAGAATAATGCTACACCATTAGAAGCAGCTGTACCCGCTGTTGTTGCTGTACTCGCACCCCCTCAACAACCCTTTGTGAAATCAGTGCCAAGTGTGAATAATCCAGAAGTAGCACAGCCAGCAGAAGTTGTTGCAGAAAATGTTGCAGAGAAAGTCGATGCCAATGCTGATGCAGTTTCAAATGTACGTCAAGCCACTCAAGCCACACCCACTACTACACAACAGAACTTTGTTCAACAACTACAGAACACCATACAAAATTCGCCTATCGGTCAGTTTTTAAATCAAATAACTGGTCAACAACAAAACAATAATCAACAACAACCTGCTGCCGATGAACCAGCCTCACCGAATCCAACACTGCCCGGTTTTCTAAATCCAGCCGCTGCCATTACATCTGCTCAACAAGCCGTACAAAATGTGGTCAATTCAACCACACAAGCATTCCAGGGTCTACAACAATTTGCTAGCAATATAGGCACTCAATTCCAAAATACGCTCTCCAATCTCGGTAATCAACAAAATCAGTTAACCACCTCTGATTCAACGACCACACGTCCACCAGGTCCATTTCAAGCTATTGTAAGCACTTTCACTGGTGGTAATAATAACAATAATCAACCTGCTGATGCCGCTCCTGGTCAACCACAAGGTCCACTACAGGGAATAATTAGTTTCTTCCAAGGTGGCGCACGTCCAACTGCTGCGCCTGTAGTACCCGTTGTACAAACAACTGCTGGACCAGCTATTGTAGAACCTGTAGCTGTTGATGATAAAATCGATGAAGCCAGTAATGATGATGCACAAGTAGAGCCTGATTCGGATAATGAGGTGCGCAATAGTGAAGAAGTTGTATTAGATTCTTCTGAGGAAGCTCAACAAAGCGATATGATTGTGGTCAATGATGATGTCAATCAACAAGATGCTGTCGCTGCTTAAGTTGGTACAATCTGCCGATTTGAGTATATAGGACTTAGTTTTTTTAAGTTACTTCAATGCCAGTTTAATTGATAGACACCATTTTGTCACAATTTTTCATTTTGTTTCATTCATAAATTTATTTATTTCATTCATTTTTAAAAATTTTATACGACATAATTTTAAATTAAAATTTAATAAAAAAATTTTCAAAAATTTTTGTATTTACAATTATTTTAAAATCCTGCAGAAAAGGAGGATCAAATAAAAATTTTATTGATTAAATCGAATTTTAACGTCAGTTATGACAAAAGAACCAAAATTCTAAATATAAGCTCTTGTTTTCAATAGAGAGGTTTTTATTGAACAGTAGTGAAAATGCAACAACAAAAATTTTTATTTATTCACTTTTTGGCTGACCATACAGCTGTTTCGAGTGTTGTCAAATACTCATCATCTGTGAGCTTTTTTGGAATTATTTCTTATATTTAATTGTAAGAAATAAATAAGTTTTGGACACTAAAGGTTGAACTTGTACCTTACCAAATTAGAAGCTCAGCGTCAAAATTCATCAGCCAATTGATCCAAAGTCGTACTTGAGTTGAATGTTCTAATTTGAGGTTTTTAATTTGCTGTGAAGATTCGTTATCAAATTCACGAAATCATAAACCAGCTGTAGTATAATTGTGTTTATTAAATATATAGTAATAGAGCTATAAACAGTTATAGTTATGTTATTTTTTTTGTCGAAAGTGTATCGTCTATTGACGAAAAGAAACTATTTAAAATGGAGAAGAGTTCGAATAGAAATGAAAATAGAACAACAAAAATTATAATTAATTTATTGAAGTTTGACTGATCAATACTCGAAACAACAATTATAGATTGCCAGAAAACGAGTACAATACCTTTGTCTAGATTTCGTTGAGCAAATAACTGAAAGTTCAAATCAAAGAGTTCATGATCATTTAAGGAAAGTTGATTTACACAGTAGATTCAATAGATAAAAGTATATCTCTTGCAATAATAACAATATATAATTATAATTAGTTCCAATCTCACTGTATGTAGCTTAAGTATGTATGAATGATTATATGATTTAATATAATTAAGCCCTCTGTTGAGAAAAAATTAAATTACAATACTTTCCGAACAACTCAATAAAATAAATCCGCAAATGAATAGCATGGTGATTGAAGCTCTTCCGCATAACGTCATACATCTATTCAATTGTCTCCCAAAACTGACTCCACTTGATTTTTAGATTCATCACTTGATGTAACATAATTCTTAAATATGGTTCCAGTTTAGAACCAATATTTTCTCTTACTATACATACATGTTATTCTCTACAAATAGTAAACCATGGTCTATCAATCGAGATTAACACCTCTCCTTCTCTTTATATTTTGTTATTATATTTCATATTTGAGTTTCTTGCATCACATACTTTAAGTATATATATTCGATATATATTTATTCGATATTATATTATTATATCGAGATTATAAAATTCGATATATTCATTTATTCATACTGACAATATATTGTTTAATGCTTTTTATATTCATTAGTTGCAAGAAAATTATAATATATAATATATATTTTTATGGGGTTCCCGACGCCTGGTAGGACTTCAAGTTAGGCTTCAACAAATGTAAAAAAAGTATATAAAAAATATATTTTCATAAGTAACTATGGAAATAAAATAATTTAGTTTTAATAATTATTATGTATATGTATTTATTTATTCTTACATAAGGTGGTATAGAGCAGGTAGATATATATATATATAAAGAGCTTAGCAATAAAAATTATAACATTTCAATAGTACAATAATCAATTAATTAAATAAAAGTTTATAAACAGTATATGTATAACAAATTTTTACCTAAACTAATAATAATATAATTTATATATATATATATAATACATAATTGTTTTTGTTCATAGTTTATATGCAAATTTATAAACCGAAATTTATAAGCTTCAGCAAATTAAACTTATTGAAAATTTTTTAATTATTCTATTTAAATTTATTTTACTATTTTTATCGATTTATTTATTTATAACATAATTAACAAAAAAAAAAAACAACAGGAAAATATCGATAGAAAATGGCGATTTGCTTAGATTTTTTATAAAGTACTAAATTATTTAATTTTTTTATTTTGATTATAGTTTTAAAGATTTTTTATGTATACATTTAAATATTTAAAGTTAAAGTAAAAACTGCCTTCATTGAAGTTGGATTGCTGCATTTGCTTATATATTAGTAAATATTGCATATATGACAAGTAATAAAATATTTATTTTATTTTTCATTTATTATTTTTTATTTGATATTGGAATATATTTTTTTTATTATATTTTCATTAATAATCTTGTTTTTAAAACGGGCTAATTGGTCAATCGTTTAATAATATACTTTTTTATTATTATTTAATTTTTAAAAAAATTTTTATTTACACAAATATTTCGACGATATTCTATAGTCATCTTCAGGGTACTGTCGAAATATTCTTGTAAATAAAAAATTTTTTAAAAACTTAATTTTTCAAACAATTATATTATACAACAAGTGACCGAAAAGCCCGTTTAAAAAAAAAAAAATTTTTTAAAATTTTGGTCATTAAAACAATAAATTATTTTTTTATTAAATTTTTAAATTAAAAAATAAAATATCTGTATTTATTTATATGGTTTCTTTGATACGTATGGTATGTACTTTTGTTTGTATATAAAGCAAATAATTATAAAGAACTATATAAAAACATTTTATATATTAATTTCAAATAATATATATATGCATATATAAATAAATATATCAGACAAAATAATATATAGGAGACAAAACTGTATAGTTAGATGTAATTCAAATTTGAATTTATAAATTATAAATTAACATTTATAGGCATTAGTCTAATATCAGATGACTTATATAATTAATACTATCTATGATTTTTATAAGCAAAATTTTAAGTCTTTGGTGTAAAGCATTATCATTTATCATAGAGCTTTAATATATATATAAAGATGTGTGATTATGATTTTATATATACGATTATGAATACAAAAAATAAATATATGATTTATATCAGATATATATTTTTAAATTTACAATTGATTGATATATGAAATAAGAACATATATTTGATTATAGTTAAAATTGGCAAACATAACAAGTATAAAGCATGTGATTAATATATATGTATATGATATAAAAAATAAATAATTATAGATAGACATAAATTTGTGTATATATGTTTATACATATATTAAGTATTTTCTAGAAATGCTTTCGATATTATATGTGTCATGTATATAAATATATATTATATATTTGCTGGACTATAATGATTATATGGTCATTTAATTTATAAAAATAATTCATTCATTAATGATGTTTATAATGTTATGTTACTGATGAAATTAAGGTCATTCTTTTAACGAAATATTTAAGGTTATATGAAAATGGTTAAAAAAATTTATATGAGTAAAACTGGATATGGTTGATTGAGTTTTGGTGGTCAAACTTCTAACTAAAAAAGTTTTAGTCATAATTAATTTTACTATGTTAAGTACGTGGTACACTAAAGAAACTACATAGGAAACCGATATGTGATAGGTACATGTTTCTTTTACGAAAAATACACATTATTATACAAAAAAAAAAATTCCATTAAAAATGTTGTTATGGTTAGAAAATTTATGAAAAACTCGAAACATATCGGTTATATTTTTCAAATCCATTCAAAAAACATAATTCTTTAATATCAAACAAAAATCTATTTTATTATCTATTAGTTTTAATATAAAATAAAGTTTAAAAATAAACTATTTTTAAAAAGTTTGTGTTTAAATCGACACAGGAGGAACTCCGTGGGTCAAGCAATCAGGCATATGACACCCAACTTCAAGGCATCTAACCGTTGTGAAACTATCTTAAAGTACATTCAAAATTAGTTCATTTTAATACGTTGAACCTCTATTAATATTTAAAATATGTCCCCTTTTGCCTTGTATTAATATATTATATCAAATAAATAATAAATAAAAACTTATTTAAAACATAATTAAAATTAAATAGATTTGTTTATGCAAACTATAAAAGATTAATAAAAATTTTAATAATTAAAAGATTGAAAAAAATTAATGCAAAAAACTATAAATATTAAATATATTATAAATAGTTTATGATACATATGTGAATATAGTTACCTTAATGTTATTAATGAGTTTTTTTTTTTGGGTATATATATTAAAGCATTGATTAACTTTTAAGCTGATTCTTAGGAAGGATTTTTAATATTGTGAGTATAGGGCATTTAATATTTAAGGTACTGATTGAAGGTAATATAAGTATAATTGACATAATAAAAAGTATAGGCTCAAATTATTCAAAATAATTTTTAATAAACTTTGCTAATTTAAAAGATATTAGAAATTGACTTACAGATACTATAATAAGTTCCGAAACATAAATTACTAAGACAATATCTCGTTAATATTTCGTTTTTTCTGATTCAATATGTGAAACAAAGAACCAACAATCTCTCGACATTGTGATATATTTATTCTAGATAAAATATTATTTATCTTTTTATTTCATTCGTTGAAAATGCTAATACTTTTTGAAACTTTAAAAATGTATCTAACTTAAATATCCATTTCAATATGTAGAAGGATGAAAAAATGTATTTCTTTCATAACCACTAAATGCCATTTGAAATAAAGATAACTTTTAATCATTAAAACTTCTTAAATATTCAGTTTTCAATAAAGAATATAATAGTTAATATAACTTAAATAATATAACTAAATATTTCTTAGTATTACTAAAAATAGAACAATTTCAGGAATTTAAAGGGCTGATTTCGCAGTCAATCCAGAAGACTCAGGACTGACTTTATAATGCCATAATCGTCAACTTTGCTGACTTAAATATAATAACATATATAAGTCAGTCTTACGATCTATGTGACGACTGTGAAATTAGATGTAAGTAATCTAACTATATAGTCCAGTTGAACTGCAAATTTTCTAACTGCTGTTTTTCCTTATTCTACCTTGTATTCTATTAACTGGATTAAGGATTAAGGAGCTGGATTAAGGAGCTGGATTAATGGATTAAGGAGATTAATGATTGTGGAGACCTCCGCACAGTCAAAATGAGATCTGAATCATTATCTCTGAGTCATTA